GTGGGGTTTAGGGGATTTAAGAAAAGAACAGATGGGTTACTCACAGGGAGGCCAGGGGGACCTCCAGGACCAATGGGGCCAGATACTCCTGGAATGTGTGTGTGTGTGTGTGTGTGTGTGTGTGTGTGTGTGCACGCACCATGCTTGACAGTCCATGTAGCCTTGGGTTTGTCCTTGAGAGGATCTGCCTATGATGGCTGTGGGAGTCTGTGTACATGTCTGCAGGTATAAAACTGCGATGACAGCTGGCATGATTCCTTATATGTGTACCTCTGTAGCTCTGTCCAGGCAACTCTAGGGATGTATTACAGATTGGGGGTGTTGCTGTGTCCCTGTGCCTTCATGGAAGGTATCTGTACCCCCATATGCCTCTTCTGGCAATCTGTGCAATTGTTTGCATAAGTCCATGTGATTCTGGATGACATAGCTGTGTGCACAGGGGGACCCCAGCTTCCATCCTTCCCACATGCTTCACCCCCATCTGAGTTCCCACAGGCATATCTGAAACTAGGAAGCTCATCCTCTGGCTCCCCCTGGATGCCCATGACCAAAGGGTTTTCCTCAGTCTGATTCTGAAGCCAACCCCCACCCAGCTCTTCCTGGTGCCCACCTGACAGCCATCTCTGAATTCCTTGACATAGGGGCTAGTCTCCGGGCTCAGCTCATCCTCATTGGCCCCCCGGAGCCTCAGAGGGCCATCCCGGGCCACCCCAGAGCAGGGGTAGGAGACGTCCTGGTGGGCTGAGACACTGAGCAGCCGCAGGAAGGTGAGCTGGACCACGCCGACAGGGGAGCCTTCCGAGTCCACATAAGAGAACTGGCAGGAAAGAGGCTGTGTCAGGGCAGAGAGCTCCAGAGCATGGACAGAGTGGGGTGCTGAGCCAGAGTCATGAGCCAGGCAGGAGTGGCAGAGGGGTCAGATTGGGGTCCGAGTGGGAGCCAGGGGCTGAGGGCAAGTGACAGGCAAACTTATCTGCCAGGGGAGGGGCTGGGATGGCCAGGGTGGCGATGGGATACTCAGGGGGTTCAGGGCCAGCAGGCTCTGTACTTGAGGGAGCCAGAAACCTGGCTGACGGGGTACAGGCGAGGGCAGGGTAGGGGCAGTCAGGGCTCAGCTCTCACTTGGGTGACATCATCCCTGGGTGTCACACAGGTTTCTCCTCCTGCTGTAAAGTTGCAGAAAACCCGGAAGGCGTCCCGAGCACAACCTTGGTTGGGGTCCACCCAGTAATCTCCTGTTGGGCCAGAGAGAGGGGACAGTCAGGGCCCTGAGGCCTCAGACCCAATGTTCCCCACCCCCACTGCTCTACCCCCACAGCCCTCCCCACAATGCCGCCTCCCAATCTTTCTGCTCTCCCACCCGAGCCCCATGGCACAGCCCACCCTCCATCAGTTTCCCTCATCACCGGTACCCCCCACCCTATCTCTGATGTGCCTGTTCCAGCAGGACCCCCGGCTCCTCATGGGAGGAGACAGGGACACTAACACCGTCATACTGGAGCAGGGTGTGCTGGTAGTTGGCACATGTGTCCAGCTGTGTAAGTGCCCATTGTGTGTAAGTGTGAGTGTGCTCATTCCTGTAGATGCACTGGCAGGACATACAGTGGCCAAAACACTAAAATCCTGCTGCCTGGTTGGTAAAGAGCAGCTGTTCCAAGCCCCTCAACCCCCACCCCCACCTCAACCCCTTCCCCTAGACCCCACCAATGTGTGTTCTGCTCATCCACCCCACACTGTCCCTGTGGTCAGCACTGACCATCGGGCAGCTCCGGGTGGCAGAGCTTCAGGTCCTGGCAGGTGCGAGCAGGGCTGTCTTGGGTCCCTGTCGGCCGTCTCATCTGCTCAATCTCCTCACGCAGGGAGTCCAGGGAGCCAAAGATTTCCTCCAGCCCCCCAGGGCTGCCTGGCACCCCCCCAGTCGGCACGGCCTCATCTTCTTGCATCAGGCGGCTTCCATCCACTGAGCGCCGAGTCTTCTTGGGCATCTGGATGGGCAGGGGCTGGATCACCTCGCCTGGAGGGCCCTGGGTAGAGGGACAGATGGAAAGGAAGGGGGATGGGTGTGAGGTAAAGCAGAGAACAGCAGGGCAGAGGGGGGCTGTCAGAAGAGCAGGCCTGACTCATAACTTACCGGGTGTCCTGGAGGGCCCTGGACACCCTTCTCTCCCTTGGGTCCAGCTGGGCCCTAGCAAAGGAGTAAATGTGGTCATGGAGGAGTTAAGAGGTCATGAGATCAAGTTCATATCAGGGTCAAGTGAGCCTCTAGGCTGAGCTGAAGGGCTCCCTGGGAGAGAATGTTTGTTCTGGAGAGGCAGCATCAAGTCCAGTGGGGGAGGTGGGCAGAGTCGGAGATGGCACGTCACTTACTGTGGCTCCTTTGGCTCCTTTGGGGCCAGCAGGTCCCTGTGAAATGAGGAACAAGCGAGAGATGAGGTGGTTGCCACAGGGGAAGCTCAGTTCATGGAGCAATGAGAGGCAAGGGCTGGAGCCAGAGGAGTAAGGGGCTACCTGGGGGGCCGGGG